GGTCGTGTCATCTTTCTCTGTAATAGTGTGACTCGTCCTAGCCTATCATCGACTCTCTATCCAAGTTCTTTGCACTATGTGCACGGTCGAGGATTACCTCCTAGCATGAATGCTCAAAGCTCTCTATCTCAGTCTGCTTCTGCCTTTCTGGATAAGAATGTTCCGCTCAAATTACCTTCGAATGATGAGCTGGAAGAAATGGTTATGACATATTCCAGAAGGCTGACTGAAGACTCTCAGTGGGTTACAGTTGATGCTGAAAACTTAGATGCTACACTCCGTTCTAGAAAAGTATTAGCTGATGAGTCTGTGCTTCGTAGCAATTTTGATACTCTTAAGATTGGCGATTCTGTGTTAAGGTATAACTATAACCGTAACAAGCTGGACCCTTACTGGAATGCTACTGTCTATAAAGTCATTTCGATTCGTGGTCAAGTGGCTGCTATCTCCAGTGATCCTTTACGCTCTCAGCCTTTCTTTGAGTATATTGGCAATTTGAAGCGCATTGATGTGCAGTCTGTGGCCCCGGAGTGTTGTCTGTGCCTATTGATCTCTTGAGATCTTGAAGTCTTGCTGTTCTTAGTAGTAGAATAGCTATTTTGTTCGTTGGCTGTGGCACAACGTTATTTCCTTATTTCGGTGTACTTGATACGAGACCTATCCTATCTTGCACCTATCCTATCTTGGCTATACTTGTGTTATCTCAATACCCCTGGTTGGAATAGATCAACAGCCGCCGATTTCCACGAGGCGGTAGAGCGTTGAGTTAATGCAAGACTGTACAAGTGTCCAAGATTGATCAGAGTTGTATCAGGACGACGACTGACGCTTACAGTTATTATATAATGTATAGGAGTGTCCCTGTCTGCAACAAGATATGTGCACGGAGATCTAACGAGAGGAATAAGGAGATACACAAGCGGAAGTTGAGGGAAATGCGGTATGATTGGTGCTCTAACTCGATCTAAGATGTTTATCGAAATGAATCTTTTCGTGGACCCCCACGCCTCGAGATCCTCGCAAGGGCGTTCCCACTATCGTTCTATCATTCGCCTTGTCATCATCGTAGGCCTGCCATCGACACTCGGGAGCCCGAGGTGTGTCATCTTGAGCATGTACGAGTTAATGCCAAGCGTGAGCAGCTCCTCGAGGAAAGGTAGTGGAGTTCGTACACTACTTCCCATATTCAACCTTAGGTACACCGAGATTGACAGGGAGAACCGCATCTTATTGCAGGTTGGTTCTTCATTCCGGAATTACTAGAATCTGCTGTTTTCAGAAAATGTCGGATATAATGCGGCACCCATCGAGCACGATGCAAGCAGCTCAACCCGTGGGAATATCAAACTTTTCATTCAGCTCTCCATCACCTTATTCATCAGGCGAATCAGCCAGGGCCAGCCAGTCTCAACAAGACTGTGAGGAAACAGGAGTTAATGAGAATTACAAGGGTACCAATCTTGGGTCCAAAGGGGCGGCATCCGGTGCGTGTCAGGAGAACCAGGGGATTCTCAAGCGGATACAGAATGCTCAGCCGCAGTATAGCCACGTCGAATGGGAACAGAGTTTCCGACAGAATCGTTCTTATTTGAGGAACTGTTGTGACTTGCCGTTCGTTCTGGAAAGCCCCCGAAGACCTCAGCATGGTGACAGCATGATGCAGAGCTTGTCTGTACGATCTGAAGAAAGTCACTTGGGGGCGATGGAGCCAGCCGCAGACGGGAGTGAGTTAAGGCCCGTCTTCAAGGAGGGGCAGAAGCTTGGCGCTGGGTGGGGGGGTGTTACAGAGACGAGTTGGGGGAATTGTGGTATGGATTACAGATATTATCTTGTGGAGATGTTCACCGATGGTCGGGCTCTGACTATATCCGCTTATGATGGGGAGTCTCAGCGAGCCTTAGAGCTCCTCATAAACGAGAGAAATCATCGCAGGCTGTAAAATGCAACCTCATCGTGGGAGATAAGATGGTCGTGAACAGGTATGGACAAGTCGGTGGGGATTATTCGAAATTGGCCGCCCGATTGAGTATCCAAGGACGTCAGCTCGTCCTGTTGCCATACGGCACTACACAACCCCCATCTGGGGTATCAAAAAAAGTACTTCTCCTCCTTGTATGGCGCTGTCAATTGACTCTTATCAGGAGACCCAAGCTGAACAGGGCGAATCTCTCACGGCTGATGATATGGTAAGCCATTATCTTCAACGAGGCACCGCTGTCCCTACCGATAGTAGGCGAATAGGCGTCTTTCAGATACGACCATCCGGTGCCTACGTCCCCATTGAGACCGCTGGTATGGTATACAGATGGTCAGACACGACAGTGCAATGTGTTCAGGTCACGTTGAATTAGAAGTGAGCCCACCAAGCTCGTCAGCTGCTAGTAGAGCCCCAAGGGTATACGTGAGAGGCCTTACGCCCAGCACACCCAGTGTGCGGTCGGGCTATAACTAGGCATGATAATGTAACGAAGT